CTCGTTTTGCCTTGCCATATACACAGTCTTCACAGAAATCCAAATCAACAATCTTTTGTTGACCAAGTAAACCTCTTCGACTCGATTCTGACATGCCTTGAAAACTCATATGGCCGAGTCGAAGGTGCCAAAGACGGGACTGATCTGGATCAGAAAAAACTTTGACACAACAGCAGCATCACTCGAAATTGTTTGCCCGTCAAGAAAGTAAAGATCTGAGGTTTTTCGTTCGGCTCTCAGTTTGTCGGAACCGTCTTTGAATACCCTGAGAACTCCACCTTTACCAGCAAACTCGTATCCCTTTTTGTCAAAGGAACTGAGAGATAACAAGTTTCTTCTGAGGTCAGGAACATATCTAACATCCCCCATGGTTCGAATAACTCCGTCAAACATACGGATCCTGACTGAACCATGTCCAAGAACTGGACATGTAGTATTGTTACCCATCAACACATAGCCCTGGTTAACCTTTTCAAATGTGTAAAACCAACTTTTGTTGTGACACATATGAAAAGTACAACCAGAGTCGAGTATCCAATCACCAGTGGAATCCAGTTTATCTGAATAAACTGTCAAAAGTTCTCCAATACCTTCGACCTCAGCTAGATCGGCTTCACCCGAAGTGCTAGCTTGTTTACCATTTGATGCCGTCTTCTCTTTTTCTTTGTTCTTCAACTTGAAGCATTCTTCAAGCACATGTCCCTTCTTGTGACAATAGTTGCAAAACTTTCGTTTGCCTTTTGACTTGGATCTGGTTCTGTTGGAAGATTGAGAAGTTCTACTTCTCTCTGTTGTTCTTCCTCTGGCATTCAAACCTTCGGCTTTAGCATCACTTGAACCACCACCAGTAATATGCTTCATCTTCTCTTCTGAATCCAAAGCTGTATAGACTTCATCTAAAACTAGAGTGTCACGGCTATAGATAATAGTATCACGAAAATGGCTATAGGATTCTGGCAAAGACGATAGTAAGAATAGAGCCAAGTCTTCATCTTCATACTGAACATCCATATTCTCTAAGTTATTTACTAACTCTTTAAATGTGGATATATGTTCAGTTAAAGAGCCTCCTTCAATCATCTTGAGATTGAACAACCGTTGCTTCAAATGCAACTTGTTTGGTAAGCTCTTGGTCATCAACAGTTGTTCCAACTTTAGCCATAAAGAAGCCGCTGACGTTTCTTTTAGAACATCTTGCAAAACATCATTTGACAAGTGCAAACGAATCTGGGATAAAGCCTTCAGATCTTTCATCTCCTTTTCTTCTTCGGTCCATGTATCGGGCATCTTATTGAAGCCCAATAGCGCCTTGTGTAAATCCATCTGAATGAGAATGTCTCTCATCTTTACTTGCCACAACGGAAATCGGGTGTTACGATCCAGTAGTGGAATATCGTATTTTACTGAAGACATGATTAATTACTTGATAAAATGATCCCAACGAGCTAATATCACAACCCGGATGCTTTGATACCAATTGTTGTAAAATACGACGGATCCAAATTGACTTAAATAATATTAGCTCAATGCGGAATGGGATCAAAAATTATCAAAGCGTAATAATCACAACGTAATACGAATAAAATAAATAGAATAGAGACACAAGAATTTACGTGGAAACCCAAATCAGGAAAAAAACCACGGGCGGAGGAAGCCGAGAAACAATTCACTATAATTTGCAGTGTTTACAGGGATTATGAAAGAGATTACAAATAGAGTGGGAGAGCTAAAATACACGGTGGTGTATCAGTATATATATGTAATACTTTTCTATATATACTTGGATAATTTTTTGGTTGTGTTGAAACTTCTCTGGCTCAGGCTATTTATAGCCAAAGAGAATACCAATTGCAAAATAAAATGCCGTCCAAATTGTAGGCGTCCAATTGTAGGCGCCTATTAATTATATCTGCGCCTTCAAATTATTCAATTTCACATATACTATTCATAGTCAAATTTTGAATGCGCCTAACAAAAGAGTTCACCGTCCATTCTTTCATTCACATATATATTACTATTCATAGTCAAACTATGAATAGTAAATGATAAGTTACTGAAATAACCCCTGAACTATTTGCCACTTGCTAATTTTGGAGGCAACTTTTCCATATATATATATATATAATATATATATATATATTACCTTTGGGGTTTTAGGTAAATGGTGTGTTACACATACTTAAAGACCTGTTAGTATATACAAACTTCATCCATGTTGTGATATGTTTAGAATGTTCCTAATTATAATTACTTAATTTTATATGTATATCAGTGAATTTAAATTATTTATCGATTTTAGACCATTTAGATCCAACTCAACTTGGTTTTAAACACTTAAACCCGATTTAGTCATACAACTAATCACTACCCCATCCAAGTGAGAAAAGTTATGGATCCATCACATATATATATCTAAAGTTGGTTAAGACAAAATTGTCGGGGTTAAACGATGGTGCAACCCACGAGCCCTCACACATGCCTGGTTGTGGACGCAAAATGTAAGGTTCATGAACTTCTTAGTTAGGTGCGTACACATCGATTCTTTTACAACCTTTAGTTTTGGTTTAACTATAATTTACAATTGTTTTATACAAATATTTATTTAATAGTTAAATTAACAAATATAGAAAGTTAATCATTATAATGTATTTTATTCATGCAACATCCCAAAAATCATGACCAAAAATTTCTTTTAAAACATTACTAAAACCACGATTGTCAATCCATAACATGAATTATAGCATTGAATCAGAGTGTTAATTCAAAACATATTCTTATCATCAGAGTAAAACATCCCAGGCTGACTAACTATGGTGTGTGCCATGCGATCATCCCGAGCTCTTCCCTCCGCTACCGGAAGTACCTGAAACCGAAACTGAAAACTGTAAGCACGAGCTTAGTGAGCTCCCCCAAGCTACCACATACCATACAATAACATGTAAAGCACATACTGGGCCTTGCCCACTGCATCGGACCGAAGTCCGTACTAACTGGGGCCTTGCCCCCTGCATCGGACCGAAGTCCGGACTAACTGGGGCCTTGCCCCCTGCATCGGACCGAAGTCCGGGCTAACTGAACATAGCATAACATGATCATAGCATATAACAAAATCACATATACTGCATACTGCATCGGACCGAGATCCGGACTAACTAACACATAAACATGCCTGAATCACAAAGACATCAAGCATACTGAACTACTGCATCGGACCAAGTCTGGAACTACTGCTATCTAAACGGGCCGGCATTGTGGCCGTAGACCCGTTCCTACTGGAAGGAAAACTCACTTGTACTGCTGAACTCTGCTGATAATCCTCTGCTACTAATCGACTATTCTCTGAAGCACTGCTCTCCTAGCTCACCGAGCTACCAACACCAAATAATAGAACTTAGCCTAAACTGTCCTCCAGAGGTCAACTAAGTCAACTATGGTCAAGGTCCTGGTCAAAGTCAACCTTCCAGTTGACTCGACTCGCCGAGTTGTTCTACCAACTCGCCGAGTCCATGCTCCTCAAATCCCAAACAACCCCGACTCCACTCGTCGAGTCTAGCGAGAACTCGACGAGTTCTCCTTTATCTAACGCTTCAGGACTATCTTCAACCGACTCGCCGAGTTGTTCTACAACTCGCCGAGTCCATCTTCATCGGCTAAGGAGATTGCCTTGGACTCGCCGAGTTCCTCCTTGAACTCGTCGAGTACCATGATCTATATGTCCATCACGGGCACAGACTGGCTGAGTCCTTCTCTAACCCTACTCACTGATCTGACTCATAAACAGAAGGGTTTGGGTTTTGCGACCCGACTCGCCGAGTCCATGAGCTGACTCGCCGAGTCCTCCTTGCGACAACTCTATTCTGTCGATTTCAGTCTATTCCAACACTTCCAACTCATAGATCTGGACTCCTTATGCTAGCATTGGACGTAAAGTTGCTAACTTTACGTGCATGCAAGGTGTTATGAGGCTAGAACACCCTAATCTAAACTACAATGGAGGTCTAAGTCATGAAAAGAAGCCATAGCTGAGTAAAGCTTCTCACTCAGAGCTTCTGGAGCTCAGGAAATGCTCAGATCTAATCTCTATTCGTCCTCAAAGGCTCAATACTCGGGTTGGTCTTGGAAATGGTCCCAAAAGTGACAAGATACTAGCAAAGAAGGGGATCTAGATGATTAATAGCCAAGGTATGAGCTTCATACCTTCAAATGATCTGAGATAACACCCAAACTCTGGATCTATACTCCTTTCCTTTCTCCTTTCTCCTTCAACCTTCAAGATGCACTCAAAAGGGACCTTAATCTTCACACCTAAGCTCAAGAATGAAGTTGGGTGGCTAGGGTTTCGTCTCTGGACAATGGAGGCTGTAAATGAAACCCTAGAAATGAGAATGAGATGCTTAAATAGGGTACCAAGTCCCGAAACTAGGGTTTCCCAACCCAGACCAGACTCGCCGAGTCAGTCTCCCCGACTCGCCGAGTCGGTCACTTAATCCGCGACACGGGTCACGCTCCGACTCGTCGAGTTCCTCCTTGGACTCGACGAGTTGACTCCTTTGACTTAGAGCTTTTCTTTCCTTTCCTGGTCTTCCTGATTTTGGGTGTTACAATTCAATAGATGTAAAAATAATTTAAAGCTAAAAGTTTGTTCAGATAATCAAAACTAAAATAAAGTCTTACATTTAAAATTAGACACAAGTACAGAGAAACTAAAGGTACAGTGGAAATTAGTGGTTTGATCCCACTTTCATTTTAGTTGCACTAACTATACCTATGATTTTATTTATTTGTAAAAAATGGTTCTTATCATTAATACCGTCAGGAAAAAAAATGTTAAATTATTATAAAAAGACAAACATGCCCATGCCTTTGTCTTTTATTTTTTTTGTTTCGAGCAAAACCAAAAGTACTTGGAAAATTTAGTATTGAAGTGTATGCTCTATTTTAGATAAGCAAAGCTTATTAAAAAGGTCAATCTTGTCATTTACCAAGGTCTGGCTCAAAGAATGCTCACAGGCCCAATAAAAACAAAAGAAGGGCCCAAGTTTTTTTTTGATATTCCAGATTTCCAGTGGTACGGTACGTATCGGGCAAGAAAACTCTCCATTCCTCTCCTTCAAATACAACTCTCAAAACCTGTAATCACCCTTTCGATTTTTACTCCATTTCTTCGTCAACCTTCAATCATGGTGCTCGAGGTACATTTTTCAATTTTACCATATATTCTTCTATTTCAAAAAACTAGGGTTTTAATTTGTTATTTGGATCAGGCTACGATGATCTGTATCGATAATTCCGAATGGATGCGTAACGGGGATTACTCACCCACTAGGTTTCAAGCCCAAGCCGACGCTGTTAATCTGATTTGTGGCGCTAAAACTCAGGTAATTTGATAGTCAATCATAGGGCTTTTGTTTTGTTGTTGTTTAAATCGTACGCAAATATTGTTAATTGGGAAAAGTTTTCGGTAGATTGGGACAAGATCCCAGATAAGATGAATTGTGTAGGTCTAGGCGTTTGGGTACTAGGTTTTTTTTTTATTACATAAATTATATTCATCAATAGCAAGTTGACTTATCCGGTGAGAAGCTGAAAAATTGATGTTGCAGTCTAATCCTGAAAATACAGTGGGCGTATTGACAATGGCTGGCAAAGGCGTCCGTGTTCTTGTCACTCCTACTAGCGATCTTGGCAAGATCCTGGCTTGCATGCATGGTTAGCTTCTTTGATTGAGTATTTACTTACAATCTACAACATTTTAGTCCTCTTTGTATGAACTTTGAAGTGCTGAAATATATTCTTCACTTACTCAGGTTTAGAAATAGGTGGTGAGATGAACTTAGCAGCTGGGATCCAAATTGCTCAGTTGGCTTTAAAGCATCGCCAAAACAAAAAACAGCAACAAAGGATAATTGTGTTTGCTGGAGGGTATGTATATGTATCCTTATACATTTCATCTTTTAATTATCTTCTGATTTCATTCACATTTTTTGGTTTTCAGTCCTGTCAAATACGATAAGAAAGTACTGGAGATGATCGGGAAGAAGTTAAAGAAGAACAGTGTAGCTCTTGATGTTGTGAACTTTGGTGAAGAAGATGAATCAAAGTCAGAAAAGCTTGAAGCTTTAGTTGCTGCTGTAAACAACAAATGACAGCAGTCACATTGTTCATGTCCCAGCTGGATCAAATGCTCTTTCTGATGTTCTTTTAAGGTTTATTATAATTTCTTTTTATTGACATATCTTTATTATTAAGTATTGCATTTAGCTGATGAATGTTTTACTGTTAGTACAGTACTCCAATCTTTACTGGTGATGGAGAAGGTGGAAGTGGATTTGCAGCAGCAGCTGCTGCAGCTGCAGCTGGTGGTGTATCTGGTTATGACTTTGGTGTTGACCCAAATCTTGATCCTGAGCTGGCACTTGCTCTTCGTGTTTCAATGGAAGAAGAAAGAGCAAGGCAAGAAGCTGCTGCTAAAAAAGCTGCAGATGATTCTTCAAAGAATGAGAAAGAAGGGGAGTCTACTTCACAAGATGCAACTATGTCTGAAAATGTTGCTTCTGAATCTGAGAATAAAAAAGATGATTTAATGGTTACTTCTTGCTTCCTTCTTTTTTTAGCTTTAACTTTAATTTTTATAATACATACTTGTTGTTAATAATATAATAATGGTGGCGTGGCAGGATGATGAGAATGCATTGCTGCAACAGGCTCTTGCCATGTCAATGGATGATCCAACAAGGGATACTGACATGTCAGAGGCAGCTGCTGATGATCAAGATTTGGCACTTGGTAACTTACTATGAATATTATTTAAGATTGATATTTTTACAGTTTTGGTAAAAAAAAAAGGTGAAATCAATCTTTGAAATTAAGTGGTGTTAATTTGCAATTTGCAGCCCTACAATTGTCTGTTGAAGAAGGTGCAAAAGATGGATCAGGGTCAGGGCAGGCAGATATGGGGAAGCTCTTGGCTGATCAGTCATTTGTCTCATCTATTCTTGCTTCGGTACATCATCATTACACTTTTTCTTATTTTTGTGAATAGAAAAAACTAATACCAAAAGTGATGAGAATTTATTTTTTTGTTTTTTGGGGTTGGTTTTGAAGCTGCCAGGAGTCGACACCAATGATCCTTCAGTCAAGGATTTGCTTGCTTCAATGCAAAATCAGCCTGAGGTTAGTTCAAAGATTGTTTTTTTTTTCTTTAAAATTTAAATAAAAAATAAAAAATAAATTGAGATTTTATTAGTCTGAGCAGAAGAAAAAGGAGGATAAAGCACCCAAGGAAGACGACAAGTGATGTTATTGTTGTTATGTGCTCTTTTTTTAAGTATAATCCCTGGCATGTACCACTCCTAAAAAACCTGATTTTATTTTATATTTGTAGGCAATCCACTCCATGAGTTATATATTTCTTTTGTATTTGTGGGTGTAGAGGTTACAAATTATGGTGCCATTTGTTTAATGAATGATAATTGGATGGATAGACTTGTTGATTACACCATAAAGTCTATGTTCTGGTTTTAAATGGTCCCTAATTTTTATTTTTATTTTGTGTCATTTAAGTCATTAAACTACTTTTAAAAAAGATCATAAGCTCTATTTTTCTCATTTGGTCCCGGTTTCACAGGTTACATATAATCCGGGTGAATTTGATTTGATTTTATAAAAATTAAAAAATTAAAAAATTAAAAAATAATCGATGTTGGCATCAGATGGATTCCTTTCTCAATCTCTAAATCAAAAGGTAAAAATTCTCTCTGAAATAGCTGTTTCTTACTTTCTTCCTTGCAGATCATCCATTTTTGAGAAAATATAAACGATGGATAAGTTATCGTAATTCGAGTTATTAGACAGTTTGCGGGGAAAGATTTCATCAAGGGGATGAATCTTATGATTATAAATAGTTTCAAATCTTGAAGCTGCACCAGATTATACTATTGGTTTCATGTTCAGCAGATGGTATAATTTATTAGGGTTATGAATAGTTATAACTGTTCTTCTGTTTGAAATCTTCATCGTTCCAAATACCATTCAACAAACTGTTTTGAATTATCTTCTTCATTCAAATCGAAAGTTCATACACCCATCTTCACACTCTTTGATCAATCAGCCACATATAAACATAAAGAGGTAATTATCTTCAAATCATCGAAACCTCAATCCATCTTCATCCTTTGAAATACCCATTAACAAACTGTTTCGAATTATCTTCTTCAAATTGAAAGTTCATCTCTATCTAAAACGAATCAAATTGAAACCTCACTCAGAAGTCAGAACCAGATCACCGACCGATGAGATATATCGATCATCAAAGGAGAGAAGTGGAGATAAAAGGCACAAAAAAAAAGTTTAGGGATCATTTGAAACGAAAACATTAACTTTATTGGTGCTTTCATGATAAAAACCCAAACCAAATACTATTCTTGTTAACATGGATTTATCAGTTTGACTTTTGGGGCAGTTTATCAACTTTACTCATGGCACTTCGGATTTGGATAAGATTGCTTGCTTGTTTACATTTTTCTTCATGGATAATTTTTAAAGTGAATAATATTGTGATTTCATTCTTGTTACTTGTTTGCTTGTGTCTAGTTGCCTATCTCAGACGAAGTTGAAGTTGAAGTTGTTTTAAGCCTTCTATTAACTACGCTGTTTGGGAAAAAAACCCACGATGATTGTCACTATTGAAAATTACATTTTAAATGTACAAGTTCCTTCTCTAATAGATACAAGTTCCTTCTCTAATAGATATTAGTGACCTGTTTCTTCAAATCACAACGCATCCACATCCACAGGGAGTTTGTTTGATATACAAGTTCGTTTTTTAGCATTTGTTTTATGATTTAGTTTTGTTAAGTGTTTGTTGAAGTAATTATATTGAAACCAATACAATAAAATAAAATAAAATAAAAAAAACTTAAAATCAAGAAACAAATAAACATTATTCATAGACATTCAATAGGTTTATCAGAAATAACAACATTATTTATATAGGTTTATCATAAAAGAACATTAAGTTGAATAAGAAATTAAAATATGAATCTGACTTAGCATCATCTTCATCTCAACTGCTATCTTCTTATCACATATGGCTATCGCATGTTGTATTATGAAAATAAGTTTGTCACTTCATCTCAAGTGTTATATGACAAAAACAAGGTCATTCTATATGGATTGCACCATCTTTCATCTTTTTAATATTTCAAGCCTAATAACCTTCATATCCACCTGTTTGCTCCAATCCAGGTAGCCAAGTCATTATCAATCCATCCAAACATATCAACAAGTTTTCACTCCGTTCTTCCATTATTACTGGTTTTATCTTTGACCAGTTTTCCAATATTCCATCAATTGTGAGCCCTTCAGCCACCTTGAACATTAAATGAAAAATAATCATGTTTAAAACTATATTTCACAGGGGTGGCAAACACACTATCAAACCATTAGGTGATATGAGTAAAAGTTTGTTATTTATATACACACTGATGACTTGCACAATGATGGGATCTTAATCTCCAGAAGCAATCTCACGAGTAACAGGTTCTCATATCCAGTCGCACCTGCCACAAATACACAAAATTTATCTGAGATACAATTGTAGGTGAAAGGTGTAATATTTTAGTGGTAATATCAAGTCAATACTTCAAATTTTTAAAATAAAATGGAGCAATTTCTAGTTGCACCATGGGTGTTTAATGGAGTTCAACATCACTTAATTGACCTAAACATTGAACTCAATTAGTCAAGTATGTTTGAAAACCTCAACAGCAATAACTTATTCCATTATTCAATCATAAGAATCTAGCAGTTAATTTTCCAATAACTTTATGATTTTGTTACAAAATCCTTAGAATAACATCTAACATCCTCTAATCAACTAATAATGAAGTGAAACAATCCATTTAATCATTGATTCTCGGGCATAAATCCCTTTTCAGTTTCCATGTAACATTGTTCCACCATACATAAGTTACAGGATAAAACAATCTAATTTCATAGAAAAAAATGTTGGAAAATAACCCATTAGTGTGGTCTTAGGACTATTTTGTAACGCTAATTACATGTTGGGTACAATTATATTTTGTACCATAATATTTGCCATCCGTAGACATTAAATTGTGTAGTATGATGGATATGACATTGTTCTATAACTTGAGGGACTAATCTTGTGTGGTTTCAACTTCTTTCTCTAAGGTGTAACTGATGAATTTAATACCTAATGAATGAACGGTCAAATGGAGACTTAGAGTGTGTTTGGGATTGTTTTTTAAAGATAAAAGTGCTTTTTATAAAATGACTTTTTGTAAAAGAATTTTTTCTAAAAGATGGTGTTTAAAATGTGTTTGACTTGTCTTTTATGACTTTTAAGTGATAAAAGCTAAAAGTCACAAAAAAATAGGAATTCCTATCTTTTCTCCGTCCAACTTTTCCTTCTTGACTAAAAGTTGATTTTAAAATTGACTAAAAGTTGATTTTAAAAGATCTTTTCAATTTGTCAAATAACTTTTAGTAATTTTTAACTTTTTGAAAAAGTTAAAAGTCAAAAAGATGATTAAAAAAAAGGAATCCCAAACATCATCTTAACACATTCTTCCTTACGCTCAAACACTCTCTATAAACACCATCATCGTGAGTGCAAAAGGTATCAATCCATCCATCAGAAAATCAGAATGACACCATTACCGGAAGAAAGAGAATCGAACTATGGCATCATGTTCAACACCAATTGAAGTTATCATTCCTTCCAAGTAAGTGTTCATCATTTGGTTTAGGGTTAACATAAACTGATCTTGGTTTATGTCTATTAATTTAACATGTGGTATCAGAGCATGGTTTAATTTAAGATTATCAAACCCAAATTTCGTATTTTGAACCCTATTAATTAAGAATTCCACGACCTAATTGAAACAATGATTACATGTTCGTTTGGATTTTGAAGTTTTGATAATAATTGCGTTTGATTTCTGATTACAAGAGTCGTTTAAAATCGATACCTTGGCTTTAGATTTCGTATAAATTTGATGAAATATACCGATAAGCTTAAATGCCATGTTTGCTTCTCCAAACCCCTGGAAATTTTAATACTACTTCGTATGTCACTCACGTGCTTAAACTAAGCTAAAACCAAATTGATGTGATCTTTATGTTTATTGGCAATTTTCCCCGCTTTTGGTTAAAATGGCTTATTATTTTGTTTTTGATTTCGGCATTCCATTCCATCATGATGCAATTAGTTTATAATAATTTTCATACACCTTAAACGACTATCCTATGTATACAATTACAAACAGCGTGTTATGTTCTAATCACTGTCAACTGTAATTTCTTTAGGAGATGACAAAAAAAAAACTTATAGATCGCACCTAATCGTCTTGAATTCAGTGTCTCCACTGGTTTTAATGCTATTGATTTATTTTCAAGGTTCAAGAATTATTTTTTGTATCTTATATGATGCTTTTGAAAATCAATAGTGGATGAAATCAAATCTGGGAAAACAAACAATGTATATAATGGATAATACTTGTTGATTTTAAGGTGATTATATTTTACATCATACCCTAAAATGGATAATACCCCAATACAAATTAAGTTTTTTTAGATATTGTTTGGGGTATACTTTTGATAATCGAGATGCTGATAAGCTTTTATGATTTCTTTTCAAGGCATTTTTTGTCTAATAATTCTTTTTAGTTACTTGCTTTAATTCTTTTGCAAGTGGAAGAAAAACAAAATACTTTGATTTTTTGTATTTTTTTTTTGTTGGTCAAAAGGAAATTATCTCACAACTAAAGATTAATTATTTTATGATAAAAACTACATAATGATCTTGATAGATGTTATGATTCCACGATCAAGAAAAATGAATTACGCATTATTTATAAAGGTTGGGCTGATTTATTAATTGATTATTAACTCAATAATTTTAAATGATTTCGGATAAAGAAAAAAAAATGATAATACTTGTTGTAATACTTGAAACCCTCTATGTGGTGTATGATATCAGTAAACCACAAAAATGTTGCAAATTAATTTGTTATGGTAATGGGTTTCAAATTACTTCAAGTAATTACTTCATATTGTGATTGTATGTTAAAATCTTGTCATCCTTTTATTTGCTGTTGATTAAACTTAGTTTTATGTTGTTCGTAAGTTTATCAAATTATCTAACTATATTAGTTTGGTAAATTTTAGTTCATTTTTAATGATAAATGATGAGCGGTAACCTTAATGTTAAGCCTAAGTGACTGGACCAAATAAAAGTTGCTTAAGTTTGATGTTTTAGTTTATTAAACATCACCTTATACAACTGTTTGAATTGTTATTCAAGGAAGGGATATATACATTAAAGTCACAATATTTTCATCGATTTGACAAGAAAGTCATAAACTTTATTTTTTGACAGTAAAGTCCAAATTACCGGCAATTTTTGACACTTTTACCATTTTTTCCCGGTTACCCGGTAATTAGGACTTTTTTGTCAAAAAAAAATAAAGTTTAG